TGAGTTTGGGTAATTGTGGGTTTTGGGTTTTGGGTAATTTTTGGTTTTGGGATTTTGGGTTTGGGTAGTTGGTAGGCTTTGGGTTTTGGGTAATTGGGCTTTGGTTTGGGTTTGATGGGTTTTGGGCTAGACTTTGCATTTCACCCCTCCAACTTTTAATTTCTTCAATTGAGCCCCTTCTTCCTTCTTCTGGAATTTTCCAATTTCCTTTTGCATGTAGCACCTGAAACAAAAATAAAGATATATTAGTCAAAGAAAAGGGAAATTTTCATACTTTTATATTTTTTTATTTTTTCTTGTTTTTTTTTTATAAGAATTTGAGTTATGACAGGTTCCTACAAGTGCTAGGTTCGATTTCAAACCCAGCAGGCACTGTGTTCAAGCTAGCTTCCTACAGGTGCTGGGTTCGAAGGTGCTGGGTTTGATTTCGAACCCAACAGGCACTGGGTTCTGTTTCTAACCCAGCAACCGTTGGGTCAATGGATCTGTTGAGTTCCATTTGTTTCAAACTCAGTAGTCGTTGGGTCGATGGATCTGTTGAGTTCGATCTATTTATGGATTTGTTATCTGTTGTGTTATCCTCATATTCTTGCAAGTGCTCGATTCGATTTCAAACCTAGCAAGCATTGGGTTTTGTTTCCAACCCAACTGCAGTTGGATCGAAAGATCTATTGATTTCTATCTATTGGTTTGTAGTGTTATTCTCAGATTTAATATTAGGAAATGTTAGGGTTTGCAGAAGGTGAAAGGAAACAGAGAGGAAAAAGAAAGGGAAAAAAGAAAAACAAAGAAAGAAAAAGAAAATTTTTAAGGTAATTTCTTGCCATCTCATTTTTTTGCCACGATGTACATCCTAGGTGTCAAAATGTTTTAACATGTCATCCTTTTCTCCGTCAAGTAACAAGACACGTAGGCGGGTATTTAACGAAAGGACCAAATCGGGGTTAAAATGGTAAACAATAAGGACCAAATTGGGGGTTCGTACAATAGTTCAAGGACTAAAATGGGGTTTTAACCAATCAGGATCAGTGAAGAAGTTGGGGTGGATAACATCTTCTCACTTATAACGGATTTCAGATTATGTGGAGAAGACAGCTTGGAGGAAGAGGACTGGTCTGATGACTCATTTGTTGAACAATATGATTCAGACAAGTGTTGGGGAGAATGGCAGCTACAAGACAACGATGTGTCGTCGATTGCTACGGAGGCTCGATGATGCTGGCAACAGAGGCAATTGAGGAAGTTGAAAAGGTTCCGGACTCGATGGAGGCAGCTGACAAATCAATTAATGTAGACGAACAAAACATGTTTGAAAAGGCAGCTAGCAGGAAATCCAAAGAGCATGTATGTCGGCTTGCGTCGAAAACAACTCAAAATGCACCAGCTATAGATTTGGGCTTTTTGACACCCCTCCTAAGAAATCTAATTCAAATTTGGAGGATGAAGACTCTTATCCCTTTGGATTTGGGCCTACAGATCTTTTCGACCAAAAAACCAACCTAGGTGATAAGAATAATGGGCTTTTGTCAAGTTTGGACCTTGCAAGTCAAGTGACTACAAATTCCAATTTATTCAACATCCCACAAAAAAAAAAATGGACAGATGTTCTTGTAGACAAGGACACCAAATCCGAGGGTGAGACAGCCAAGTGCAATGCAAAACCACAAAATGGAAGTAAAAGATGGACGAAAGAGGTGTGTGTTGAAGAGGGAAACGAAGTAGTTGAGGAGCGAAGCACACAACCCTTTTAGGAAGGGCTAGCAAGCGATGATGAATTATTGCAAGCAAGAGTGGAGAGAATTGCTCAGGTCTGGAGGAAGAAAGGAAAGCATGCAAAGAAGAAAATGGTACCCAAAGCAAAACAAACAAGAACTAGAAAGGGATTCACCTTGGGTATGCGATCGATTGGTGGAATTGAGGAGCACAATCAACCTTCAAGCCTTGGCTCGACTTTGGCAAAGAAAAAAAAGCAAGATTGGAGTGAGGCGGCCAAGGAATTATGGATGTCTGGCAAGAGGTTAGGCTTGGTGGATGTAGGGAATGCAGAGCAAATCACTAAACATCTAGGTGATGTGGAGAAAAGAGATAGAATCGCTTTGGCAAAGCAAAAGATGGCTTTAATGGAGATAGGGGGAGAAGAATCTGGCCACCCATGAAGATCATCTCAATCAATATTAGAAGTTTGGGAAGTAGCAGCAAAAAGAAGGCCTTAAAGGAGTTAATCAAGAAAGAAAAGGTAGATATGTTGTTCATTCAAGAATCTAAAATGGAGGTATGTGACATTAGACTTTGTAGATCAATTTTGGGTGTGGATAATTGTGATTGGGCAGTGAATCCGGCACAAGGAAAATTGGGGGGTATTCTTTGCATTTGGAATCTTAGTGTTTTTATGGTTGATAAAAAGATACTAAGAAATACCCATGAGTGGGTGGATGAGTTGGCTGGAACTTTTCCAGCTTAACCAGAGGTCTTGAGTTCAAGTCCTGGGAATGTAGCTCCGTTAAAACTCATGAGGGAGAGCTTTGCCACCCATTGGGTCCTACCCGGCTCGAATCCGGATTAGTCAGTGGCCTAATGGGCTTCTGGATACCGAATGGTCATACCAAAAAAAAAAAAAAGATACTAGGAAATGGATTTTGTGGAATGTCAGGTTTTTGGGAAAGGGATCATATTCCCTTTTTTTAATGAATGTTTATTCTCCTTATGAGAAACAGGGGAAGCGCACGCTGTGTAAAGAAATTGTGTTTAATGGAAAAATATGGCAAGGGCAATTGGTGTGTTGAGGGTGATTTTAATGCTATCAGAGACATTGAGGAAAAGAGAGGTAGAAGCTATGATTCTGCAGAAGCCAGGGAGTTTAACAATTTCATTATACAAGCAGGTCTAGAAGATCTCCCCATGTTTGGTAGAAAATTCACCTGGTATAAGGCGGATGTTTCTGCGATGAATCGGTTAGAGAGGCTCCTACTATCCTGAGAATTTCTCCATAATTTCCCAAATGTAATCCAACAGGTCCTCAAAAGAGACATATTTGATCACTGTCCTGTCACGCTCAAACAATCATGTAACAACTGGGGTCCCAAGCCATTTAAATGTCTAGATAGTTGGCTTAATCAAGAAAGTTTTAATGCATTTGTTCAGGAAAAGTGGAATAGATACGAGGTGGAGGGTTGGGGTTGTTATAAACTTAAGGAAAAACTGAAGTGCTTAAAGAGGGACCTAAAGAAATGGAACAATGATGTATTCGAAAGTATTGAGCAAAATATAGATGGAGCAAGAGAGGAAATCAAAAGGCTGGACATAAAAGGAGAGGCACGCACATGAACAGAGCTAGAAGTGGAGCAAAGAAAGGATTGTTTTCTTAGGCTTTGGGAGTGGAACAAGGCTAAGGACAGCTTACTTTATCAAAAATAAAGGCAAAAATGGCTCAAGGAAGGGGATGCCAATAGTAGTTATTTTCATGGGTGTGTGGTGAAAAAAAGGAAGCAAAATGGGATTGAAGGCATGCATATTAACGGAGAATGGATAGAGGATGCTAACACAATTAAAAATTACATTAAGGAATTTTTTAGTAACAAGTTTGAGGAGGAACAATGGAGCAGGCCTCACCTGGAACTAAACAATTGTAGAAAAATTAGTCAAGATAAGAATGACATGTTAGTTGCAACCTTCTCGGAAGATGAAATCCGGAAGTAGTATGGGGATGTGGTGGAAACAAGAGCTTGGGCCCCGACGGCCTAAATTTCAATTTCATAAAAAGAATGTGGCCCATATTAAAGAAGGAGATTTGTGAATTTGTAGTAGAATTCCATTCTAATGGGAAATGGGTGAGAGGTAGTAATGCAGCTTTCATAGTCCTAATTCCCAAGAAGGATAACCCAACAAGTTTAGCAGACTATCAGCCAATCTCCCTCATTGGATGCATGTATAAGGTCATATCAAAGCTTCTTGCTTACAGGATGAATAAGGTGATGGATTCAATTATCAGCCCAACCCAATCTACTTTCATCAAGGGAAGGCAAATTGCTGATGGCATTGTTATCACTAACGAATTAATTCTTGATGCAAGGAAGAGAAGAAAATCCATAGCCATTTTTAAGGTGGATTTTGAAAAAGCATATGATAATGTCAATTGGAACTTCCTCAATTCCATGTTGAGGAAAATGGGATTTTGCCCAAAGTGGTGTTCTTGGATCAAAGGATGCTTATCCTCTACTTCAATCTTGGTTTTGGTGAATGGGAGTCCTATTGAGGAGTTCCAAATGTCAAAAGGATTAAGCCAAGGTGATCCGTTAGCCCCGTTCTTATTCCTTGTTGTGGCAGAGGCTTTAAATGGGTTAATTGGTAAAGCGATAAAAGAAGGACTATTTAAAGGTGTGACAATTGGTTTAAGGGGTATGGAGATTACACATCTACAGTTTGCTGATGATACTATTCTGTTCTGTGAGGCATCAAGAGAAAACATATGGGGCATCAAGAGAAAACATATGGGCCATCAAGAGAAAACATATGGGCCATCAAGTGTATCTTCAGGAGTTTTGAGCTTGTTTCGGGTTTGAAGGTAAATTTCTTCAAAAGCTTCCTTGCCAAAATCCATATTAAAGAGTTAGAGTTGAATGGAATGGCTGATATGCTCAATTGCTTGGTGGGAAGCATACCTTTCATATACCTCGGCATTCTTGTTGGTGCTAATCCAAAGAAAATTGCCACTTGGGCCCCTGTAATTGATTGTTTTAGAAGGAAGCTTGCCTTTTGGCATTGTGATTCCTTGTCCTTTGGTGGGAGAATTGTTCTCCTGAATTCTGTCCTTTCAAGTCTCCCTGTTTACTACTTCTGTGATATCCTGAAATTTTGTGATATTTTATCATTAAGTTAAGGACTAAATTGTGGAAAAATGTTGTTTTGGGGCTTAATGGTAAAATGTTCAAAAGTTGAGGGACTTAAAAGTGAAAGGATTTTGGATAAGGATCAGCTTCTTTTCTTTTTCTCCTTT